TTAAACCGAGGAAGGTTTCGCTGAAAAATGCTGCAAATTTTATTATTATGACACGTCTTTAGACATGTATTCAAAACATGTACCTCTAACAGGATACGAAAAGATAAGTATCATTTTGTTGTGTGACTGTCTACAAGGTATCTTTGTATTTGTTTCTTCTTCTGACATGGTTGAACTATGTGACCTGGTGACATGATCACATTAGTAGATGTGAAGTATTTTGACAGTAATACGATCACAGGACGGTTGCTACTACGTAATGTGACAGCTTGGTCCAGCTGTTGCCTTTTCAAAAGCCTGAGGCTGATTTGCTTATTTGTATATAATGCTGGCATTTATGCATTAGGGCTTTCCCCCTGACAGAGCGGCAAATACATGATGGTTTTTAAAACTTTCTTTATCCTTCAGTGTAAAATGAAAATTGATATCGTGCCAGAGGTATACCTATCATGCAGTGGTGCACTAGGATGCATGGTGCTCTTCTCCCAGGAGGGCTGATTGCACACAATATGTGACTAGATTATGTAACGTGTGGTGTCACTTGTAAGAGCTATATTTCTGCAATCATCCCAGTTGGCAAATGAGGGTACATACATAATAATAATTAGTGACAACCCAGACACCTCCAATTTCAATACTGCTGGGCACCCACCTGGCACCCAAGCCACGTAGGAGCTGTTGGTATTGGTGACAAGTTAAATTGCACGCTGGTTTCTTATGTATCACAGGAAATCTACTAATCTCTACTACACGAGCTTGTGTCAATGGGCTTTGGGCTTGGTCAGTGGCATCGCTATGACATAAGGTTGAGATGCTTCTGCCATCATTCAGAATTGATTGAAAGGTGTAGTTGATCTGCACTTGACCTGCTTCAAGCAGCAGCATAGACTTTTATGGGAATAGAAATCCCTCTTGAAGTGAAGAAAAGCCTGTTGACACAGACCCTTATAAAGTCAAATAATGGTGGCACATGCTGCTGGCAGTGCTTGCTTGATAGATTTTGAATGATATGCCCTTTGGCAAAAGGCTTAAACTCCAAATACTGCGAAGAACTACTTCTTGCCGCTGAATTTTGCAAAAGTTATACAAAGCTGGCAGCTGACTCAGCCCACTAATGCCCACAAAACTTAAACATTTTGAGTAAAATTTGTATTTATAATGTATTTGAACCAAAGAACAAAAACATAATACTGGAATTGCCTTAACATCCAACACTTTTCCAAGATTGAGGTGGATATCTGCTTTGGAAGACTAAAGCATATCTAAACCTGAAAACAGAAAAGTAATATATTGCAACATACAGTTCTTAGATATGGTGGTTGCATTACTATTTTTTCCAGTCCGGGTAAATTTTATGCAAGTACATAAAAATACCTGTTGATCCTGGTAGAAATCCAGTATCTTAATAAAGTCTTGTGTACTGAACTGAAATATCGAAACATTTTATCAGTTTTCTAAGCTATCTCATGTATATTACCCAACCCCTTATCCCCATGTAATGGAGATGAAGGGAGGGGGAGGTGTTTTTACTCTAAATCAGTAAAGCAGCCTAGGGTGACAAGCTGCTCCTCCACAGATACAGTTGGGTAAGTGAGCATTGTAACCTTAGGACAGGAAGTGTGTTACTGGCAGGACCACTAAGTTAAATTCAAGGGAAGAAAGCCTTAAAGAAGGGAAACCAATGCAGCCACCACATCTAAGGACTGGCAAGCTGCAACATATTACATTTTAGTTTTTAGGTTTAGATATGCTTTAGGCTTCCAAAGCAGATATGCTCCTTAATCTTGAAAATGTGTTGGATCTTAAGACAATTCCAGGATTACATACTGGTGGAGCAAATGTGTCTTTGTTATTGATATTAGATGTAGAAATAGTCCAGATACAACTTTATTCCACTAGAGTAAGGGGACAATCAAGTAAAGTAGCCAATGGATTTCTATTGAGTGGCAATAGGAAAACTTCAGGCTTGTCATCAGCTGGTTAGGTTGCCAATCCAGCTGCTGACAAGACTGAAGCTTTTCCATCACAACTCAAAAGAAATTTCAAGCTGCAGGGATTGTAGTCCACATACATGATTTTTCTCACTAAATCCTGATGAGGGGGGGTGTTTTGGACTCCTGAAATGCGTTGGCTACTCTACTATACTTGTGACTAGTGGTATAAAATTGTATATGGCCTATTTTAATTGGTTTGGCACCTAAAGTCCTACATCTACTATGTTCACTGTTAAGCGAAGGATACTGTGTAGACCCTTAGGCCAGTGACAGCTGTGTATTTATTAGCCAGATTACACATATTCACATCACCTAACCACTATTGGATGATAAACATCAACAAAATAATCACATGGGTCCAGCACTCTGTTTCCACTTCCAAATATTTGCTATTGATATAGGCAATTGCTAGAACTGAAGAGATTCAATACTGTGATCCAGAATTCATATTCCACTAGAGTGCTACCTGCATGGAATTTGTATTTCAACATGTTTGTGTGGACGTCTGCTATTTGTTTCCAAACAGTGGAATGCTGATATGCTAATTGGTTCCTGACCAAAATTGCCTTAGAATGCGAGTGAGTACCTGTGTGACTACTATGTGACCAGTAGGGTAAACATACATGTGTAGTTATAGAAATCAATTGATTCCCCAATGCACTGACATCTATTGTTTCCAGGCAGACACTGGCACCTGCGGCTGTCTGAATACCCAAACAGTGATTGCATCTGATAGGATACAGACACTATTTGGCCAACAATTTTCCACCTGACTCCTTCAATTTTAAAATCAGCTTTTGTTGTGTCTGGTGGTGGCAACAGGGCCACATTTTGCTTGAATTTTGGCCAACTCAGTAGGAATTATCCAAAACTTGAGTCATGTATAGGTAGCATTATATAGTTATTAGACTGCTGTCCAAATCTTTTTGTATAGCTTTGGATAGCATGGACCAGTGGTGGCGAACCTTGGCACTCCAGCTGTTTTGGAACTACAAGTCCCATGAGGCATTGCAAGGCTCTGACAGCCACAGACAGCCACAGCCGCAGCTTGCAGTGCCAAGCTGCGGTAAACAAAGCTAGCAGGGTCTTGTCCTGTATTAAGAAGGGGATGTATTGCAGGGACAAGTCTATAATTGTGCCTCTATATAGATCGTTGGTTCGGCCACATCTGGAGTACGCGGTCCAGTTTTGGTCGCCGGTACTGAGAAGGGATGTCCTTGAACTGGAGAGAGTCCAGCGGAGGGCAACAAAACTAATTAGGGGAATGGAGGACCAGAGCTATGAGACAAGGCTTCTGACCTTAAACATGTTTACGCTGGAATTAAGGAGATTAAGGGGGGATATGATTTTCATGTACAAGATGTTCAATGGTGACAGCAACATTGGCAACAAACTGTTTGAGATTAACTCCATTACAAAGACTAGAGGCCACCACCTAAAGTTGGTTTGGAAAAAATTCCAGCACAATGGGCGAATACGGTTCTTTACAGTAAGAGCTGTTACGGTCTGGAACTCACTGCCATCGGCAGTGATTTCAGCCAAGAGTGTAGATTTGTTCAAGAAACGTTTGGACAATTTCTTGAGGGACCGTAATATCCAGGGATACCAGTATACCTAAAAATGAGATGATGCGTGGACCTATATGGGTTGGACTTGATGGACGTATGTCTTTATTCAACCCCAAATACTATGTAACTATGACATAACTCCCAGAGGCAGATGCATGTTGAGATTTGTAGTTCGCCACCACTGGCATAGACCATTGACCTGGATGTTTTTCCATCCAGGTCACAATAATACTCCCTACCATGCAGCCACATGCCTCCTAACATGTTTCACCAATGGGTGAATCACGTTAGAGGCATGTGGCTGCATGGTAAGGAGTATTATTGTGAGCTGGTGAAAAAACACTAATAAATATCCTATTTGGTGCTGTCCATGGAATGCAGTACTTTTTTTTTCTTTAAGGTACTTTATATTTCAGTTTATGAATGGTCCTCTATTGTAGGAACTCTAAGGAAATCACTATTATGGTTCCAACTCCAGGGCAAGATAGCAAATGAGGTGAAAAACAGAGTTCACACTCCTGCTTTTCCGAGCAGCAGAAATCCGGAAACGTGCTGCAGTTGGCTAACTCTTTATGAAACATCTGGTAGAAATTATGATCTGGGACTCTGCATCCATTTGCACCTGCTTCCCCCCTTACTGAAAATAATGAACGTGTGATTTATAAACAAATATGCAGCAATTATGATGGTGCAAAAACGTGCCGCTCATCCATCCAATCAATTCTTACTTCCAGTGCATGTAACAGCACACTGAACATTTGTCTACTGCTCATTTCCTGTAGCCACTTAAGGCAATTGTCTACTACTTACAGAACTTCCATTTAATCCTGCCCAGAGCCCAGCAAGGATCCTGGCACACAGGAGACTAACCACACACACAAGGCATCACTTGTGATGACAAGAGCCAGACCTGCAGCATAGTTTTGCAGAACCCAGACTGAGTGTTTATTCTAGGCTGGAAATCCTCCTGCTAAATGCCAACTTATATTCATTGGAATATGCAATCCAATACACTTACAAATCACAATAACACCACAAACGTTTCAGCATGTGTAGTGTCAGTAAGGTCAATTATATTGTAAATTACCTTTGAGAAGTTTTGAAAGTATAAGGCACCAAAGGTAAGATGAATGTGAAATAAATACATGAGCAAATTTCAGATCATTGAATTCAGACAGATCCTTACTTTTTACAGCACTCTATTTATAAGGTAATTACCCAGGTGCTCACCCACAAAAAATATCCATACAAATTCAAATAGCTATAGAGACACACACAGGTCCACAGGTCTTATATGGTGATAAGTCAAAGCATCAGTGTTTTATTATCAACATTTCAATGTAGCCAAGTCCATCTTTCTCAAGCCCTTTTTGAGAATACCGGTTCTGCATGATTAAAGAGGGCAGAAGTGTTCAAAGATTCATTCATTCACACTTACCTTGTAAATTCTGCAAACCTACTTGCAGTAGGAGTAAAGTATGCACCTACAGTTATCCAAAGCAGCAGCAACATGTCTGAGCTCATCACACCTCCTTGAAATCTCATATTAGAATGATGGGTACCAGAAGATCCTTTCTTCTTCCTGACGTGTGTTATTTAATTAACTTTTATCCTTTAGCCTTGCTCTCGATACAATGGGCAGTAATGGTTATTCCCTACCAGGATAGTCACTTCATCTCTGATATTTGTTAAGGAGCAGCAGCACAAGCAATTAGCAGCAGTTCCCTTCTCTGGCTTGACTTTTCTTGGGTGTAAGCTCTGCCTTTTTCCTGCCTTCAGCAGCTGCATGCAACACTTGGCTTTAGTGAAATTCCAGCCAGTCTGCCCTTGCAGTCATTGATGACAGCGCAGGAGGTCGGTGGGTTGTGACAAGACTTTACATTGGGAGGAGTGAGCTGTATATATGTGTGAGTGTTATTGAATTTAACGTCGGTGGGTTGTGACAAGACTACATTGGGAGGAGTGAGCTGTATATATGTGTGAGTGTTATTGAATTTAACCCCCAGGCTCCCACAACTACCTAGACAGAGAATGGTGTAAAACACTGTAATCATACATTATGGGGACTTTTTAACTTTGTGTTCCTTTAATTTATTTAATCACCACAGTTGTAATATCATATAAATAGATGGGCTTGTCAGATTAAACAAACTTGTGTGTCAGATACGTCTGCTGCTATATGCTTGAAAACATTAAAACATATCTAAACCCAAGGGAAAAAACACAAACAGGGGGCGCCTTTCCTGGTGCAGACAAATTTATTAAGATCAGGATCAAAGGTAGATAAAAAACATACTCACAAAATTCAGCATGATAATGATATAAATATATGATCACACAGTCTCCTCTGCTGACACATAGACACGATTGTGCAGCTTCCATAGACTTTCTATTGGGTCCATGGACTTACTTTTTATATCATTATCATGCTGAATTTTGTGAGTATGTTTTTTATCTACCTTTGATCCTGATCTGCACCAGGAAAGGCGTCTGCACCAGGAAAGGCGCCCCCTGTTTGTGTTTTTTCCCTAGATTTTGCGGTCTCCCTGGCTGGTTTGGGGGCAGCATCCTGCAGACCTTTCTACACACGTGCTTTCTATTATTTATATATTTTTTAACAGACTTGTTTCTGATTACACTGGTGCTTATATTGGTCCATACTGGCGGAGTAGTCCTTTTTGGCGCTTTTTTGTGTTCATATCTAAACCCAAAAGCAAGAATGTAATATATTTCAGCTTACTAATCCTTAGATGTGGTGACTGCATTTGTTTTTTTTAAGGCTTTTTTCCCTTTCTTTTTACCTGGTTATCTGGTGAATAAGTGTGTTATTTTTCATTTTCCTTTAACATACCAAGCTGTCCAGCAAAAGTGTCAGGCAGAGGTTTGAGACAAACCACTTAACATGGACAGGGGTGCTTATGATATTCAGCTTTTATTAATTTATGTAAAACCTTTATCCCAAAAGAAAAAAAGAAAAAATGAAACTGTTGCTAAAACATCTTAAAAAGTGTTAGCTGAAGTTTGGATTTCATTTGTTGGTCAAGTCCATTTACAGTAGGCTATGCATGGTGTGATTGTGGCCAGTATTTGATGAACCGGCTGAAATTCGCACTGTGGGTGCTCCTCTCAGCACCTTTCTGCCCAGCATCCGCTGATCAAAGGAACAGGTTGGAAAATTCTCAGCTGAATAGAGTTTGCAGCCAGTCTGCTGCAAGCTCCATCCAGGTACAATGCAAAACAGCACATAAGTGTTGATGGAGGAATCTGTTCTATTAACTTCTATCAGCCAGCAGGTTGAACAAAGAAAATATAACAGTGTATACCCAGCTTGAAGTGACACTAAACTCAGAAGTTAAATCTTAAAAAATGCATTCAAGTACCTTAACTATTAACAAAAATGTATCTTATTTGTGTATCACTCACTCTATATGGTCAGATCATCTCTGAATTGGTGCTGTCCTTCCTTCCGGAGGGTGGCTACTTTTGTTCCCCATGGTCCCTGTGTGTATTGCAAAGTAGCCACCACTCCAAGCTCGCTTCCATGATGGACTACAATCTCAATACAAATTAGTAAACTAAACATGAGATTGTAGTCCATCATGTGATCAAAAAAGTGGCTACTTTACAACACACACCGGGACCATGGGGAACAAAAGTAGCCACCCTCCAGAAGGAAGGACAGTGTCAGCATGAATTCAGAGATGATTTGAGGATCTACAGCTGAGTGTATACAGATAAGATACATTTTTGGCAATAGTTAAGGTACTTGAATGCATTTTTTAAGACTTAACTCCTGAGTTTAGTGTCACTTTACATCTGCTAGTGCATCTAACATTACCCTCTCCAGAGGATGGCAATGCTGCTGTCCAAAAGTGGCTCCGTTGCACTTGCATAGAGTGGAGCCATCATAAGACAGGAAGTGTGTTACTGGTTGGATCATCACGTAAAAATAAAGGAAAAAAGCATGCAAAAAATGCAGCCACTACATCTAAGAATTAGTAAGCTGCAATATATTACATTTTTAGTTTTTGGGTTTAGATACGCTTTAAGATCAGGAATGTTAAATGAAATTGGACTTTTTCAATATGATTATTTTAAAAATGTTTAAGTAAACTTGTCAGAAAACTGAGTTGATCAAACTGAGCGTATGATAAAAAAAAAACACATAATGAGAAGTTACCGTCAGTGAAAACCGCATGTCAAAACAATCAGTAGATCCAAAGATAATGGCAGCTACAATGATATACAAGTTTCAACCATTCCTGTAAAGGATATGCTCTGCCTACTCCTGAATCTCCTTTAAAGTGACGGTGAGCCTCACTGATCAATAGGAATTGTGAACATTTGGTTTTCTCAGTCTGAATTTCCCAATAGCGTGGCAGGTTTACTTTACGAATAACAAAGTTTGGCAGCTATGAAAATAATATGCCTAAACTAAACAACCCATTCCCTCTCTATTTTTTTTGTTTTTTTAACAGTTTTTAGGTATATTTTTATTAATTAAAATTATTTATCTGCTTTATTTTCATAGAAAAAAATGTTCAAAAATAGCAAAAGCCATAAAATAATGTTTACACATTTGCATGCCTTTGTTTTAAGGTTAAATTGGAGTGTATTTCACTCTCCCCATAATCCTACTTTAAGAGCAGTTTTGCCTGGAGTTCTGCTTGAAAGAATATTGTTTTATGTAATAGTGACTGGTAGCAAATAATAGGTGATAATCTGATAATCTGGCTCTGGTCATACATAAGGGTCCATTATATGCCTGTACTATGACCACTATAAGGATAATCAAGTATTTTCTGGGTATGCCCAATTAACACCAAGCATTTGTGAAAGTGTATAGTGCTCAGTATTGTACAGAGAGAATCTGTATAGTCCCTCAGCAATCAGTCTGTTTTCTTCAAAGATAAAGAGACCATTCCTTCACCTGATGTGAGTTGAATTTGTATGTTAGCCAAGCTTAAAGCAAATCCATGATGAGTACCAGCAGTCTGTTATTCGAGCAGGGATAGGCATCTGTCGGCACCTTTTGTAATTGATGAGAAATCTGTCCAGATATCACAAACTAATTCTCAGGCATGAATAAATGGCTGGAGAATGTATAGATGTGATAAACCGTGAGTGTGCAATAAAGCCTTTTCAGATTGTAAACTGACCCTGGAAACACATGCATCATGCAGCCATGTTCCTCTGTTCTTTGAGACCTTTGCTTTTCCACCTAAAGGAATGTCAGGAGACCATTTTGGCTGCATTTTTGATCTCACATTTACAAAGGCACTCCAAAACACAAGTACCAGACTTATGTATGCCCCGTCCTGAAAACATCTGCTGTTCATAAAGTGATTATACGTATAAAGTGTATGTGACACTCTAAAGACCATGCAGTAAAGGCTTAACATTCTGAACACCAGCTGTCTGAACCTGTGTTGGTTTTAAACGTCCATATTAGAAGACTTTTTTTCTCGATAGTTTCCTCTAAATCTAATGCTTATGCTGGGTTACTGAGTTGTGTGAAACTCACCCCAACCCAGTTCTTACACGCAGTGTGACCAATGTGTGTGTTACCACCAAAAATAGGATAGTACAGGGACAACTAAAGACTAACTAAAATACTGTCAGTTGCCGAGTTTTTCCAGCATAACAAAAACTCAGAAACGACACTGCCTGGCTGAAGAAAAAGTCACACACTCTAATATTTCATTGGACCTCTTTTAGCTTTAAATAGGGCAAACATTTGCCATGGCATCATATCGATAAGCTTATGCAATGTCATAACATTTATTTCCATCCAGAGTTGCATGAATTTTTCACCAAGCTCTTATGTGCCTTAGTCTGATCAAGGTCTAGTATGATGATGGGAGAATCCATACGACCACTGTGTAAAGGCTTCTCCAGCACATCCCAAAGATTCTCAATGGGGTTAAGGTCTGGATTTAAGTGGTGACCAATCCATGTGTGAAAATGATGTCTCATGCTCCCGGAAACCGCTCTTTCACAATTTAAGCCCACTATATCCTTGCATTGTCATCTTGGAATATGCCCGGAAGAAAAAATCCATTGATTAAATACCTGGTCATTCAGTATATTCAGGTAGGCAGCTGACCTAATTTTCTGGGGACATAATGTTGCTGAACCTAGGCCTATTAGCCAGTGGATGGCTCTTACCTATTTGCTTAGCTAAATCAAGGTGGTGACTTTTTTTGGCCAGGCAGTGTACCGTGTGTACAATAGAAAAGCTACAACCTTCTCATTATTTACAGTATATAGCCCTAGCAGGCATTATTAATATTATTTATGATCTGTTTTCTTATATTATGCCTTTACTAACTTTTATTTTATATTCATTATGTCATATGGGAAATCTTCCTATAGCGCTTGTTGTCATGGTGTGACCATATACTATGTGGACAATCCGCAGTCAGCTGTAGACAGCTGGAGACACACTCTGCCATGGCAATTAGAAGATTTCAAACATTTTCCCATTGTTCAAAACTTGTATCCACTGGGAATGATGTAAAGTCTGTACATTCATAAAATAACAACATGGGTATGTAATAGTTTTTGCAGTGTTGAGTATTCCACTTTACAACCTTATAGTATCATATTATTCACAAAGGTAGAATTATATTTAAAGATAATTCACTTTTTCTTTGTAAAAAAGGGAACAATTCATTTAGTGTATGTTTTTAAAAGAACAATCAATCTGTCAGAATGTGCCAAAGATGTCAGAACACACAGTGCATGTGCACTACAGAAAAGCACATCCCTTGACCTTAACATGTTTCAAGGAAGCCAGAATA